CTGCTTACAGGTTTTGAAGATCTGCTTTCTCAGCTTTGGGGTCCCACATACCACAGGTCTTTACATTCTGAAGGTATCTGTGCCAAGAAGCATGACAGCCCCAGAGAAATTAAATCAACACACACTTGTTCAAAAGTTGCCCCAAATTCTCTGACCTGGCACCTGACCCAAACATTCCTGCATCCTGGCCAGCACTTGTCAGGGTCTGAGATAGCCAAAAAAACAATTACAAACAACTCAAAACAGATTTCTGCTGGGAAAAGTTTTCTACAAGTGCTGGGATGGGCCCCCAAGAACTTGCCCAGATAAGGACATTGCACAGTGCCCAGGGGAGGTGTCCAACCCATTAGTGGACTCTCTAGGATTATACCCTTCTGGTTCAGAAGTGGACCTGGCTCCCAACAATCAGTCCTGATCACAGTGGCCCCAAGAGCACAGCGATAAATGCCTGGGTGAGCCAGGCACACCACTACATGGGGTGAAACCAATGTGGATTCCAGGTTCCCTCACAGCAGGAGGTGATCCTCCAGCCACCCCAGGCGCACTGCTGGCTGGCCTACCAGAGAACACATTCCAGGGCTCCCAAAGAGACCAGACCCAGGAAAGAGCTTTTCACCATCTTCCTGCCCCACATAAGCCTCCACCCAAACTATACGAAGAAGATAACTGGCCCCCTTTCTTCTTTTCTTGAGAGAAGATAACCAAGAACATCTACTGAAAAACCTTGCAGTCAGGATGATCTTTCCAAAAACTGGGTTTGCAGCCTTGCCTCACCGGATGGTGATGGCAGTTCTCAGCTATGGTGATGACATCTCCCCAGAAGGGGAACTGACTATCCAGAACAAGCCCAGGCTTCCCAGCCCTGCTCCCACATGCAAACAAGCCTGATATGATTTCTGAGGAAAAACCTCTATGACCAAGCAGGCTCCAACTCACAGAGAACTGAGTTCAGGTCTCCATGTACTTTGCCTGGGTTACTACGGTTTCCTCAGTGATCTGCCTGTCTCTGCTCGTTTCTCTCAAACTCATTCTCTACTAAAGCAGTTAGTATAATTTTTCTAAAATTCAAATCTGACTATACTATTCTCCTGAATAAAATTCTTCACAGGTTCACATTAAAAAACCTGTATACAGGGGCACCTGGGTGGTTCAGTCAGTTAAGTGTCTGAGTCCTGATTTTGGCTCAGGTTGAGATCTCAGGGTTGTGAGATGGAGCCCTGCATCCAGATCTGTGCTCAGTGGGGAGTCTGCTTGAGATTCTCTCTCCCTCTCCCCCTCCCCCTGCTTGCACACACTCGCTCCCTCTCTCTCTAAAATAAATAAATAAATCTTTAAAAAAAAAAAAAAACGGTATACAAATGTTCGTGGAAGCTTTATGTGTAATACCCCAAATTGGGATCAGTCCATATGTCTTTCAACAGGTGAATGGTTATATACATTATACACAATGGAATATTACTCAGCAATACAAAGGAACAAAGTCAAGATACATACAACCACTTAGATGATTTTCCAGGGAATTATGGCTGAACAAAAAAGCCAATTCCGGGAAGTTACAAACTCTATGATTCCAATTACACAACATTTTTGAGAGGTCAAAACTTTAGAAACAGAGGACAGAGGGGTCAGGAACAGGGAAGGGGTGGGAGAGAAAGGTGTGATTATAAAGGGGTAACATGGAGGTTATTTATGGTGTTGGAATACAATTTACACACACACATACACACAACCAGTACAAATAAAACTGAGGAAATCTAAACAAGATTGGCAGGTTGTGTTAACGTCAATATTCTGGTTATAATATCATACTACAGTCTGTCAAAATGTTACTATGCGGAAAACTGCAAAGTTTCCCAATGATCTCGCTGTATTATTTTTTTTCAAATGCGTGTCAATCTACAATTATCTCAATAAATATTCTAATTTAAAGAAAAAAGTCCTTTGCAGAGCCCCCAAACTCCTACAACAGTAATTCCTAACTTTTTTTCAGTGAGGAATTCCAAAAGCTCCATATAATAATAGTTATACTTTTTTGGGCGCCTGGGTGGCTCAGTTGGTTAAGCGTCTGCCTTCGGCTCAGGTCATGATCATAGGGTCCTGGGATCGAGCCCCATGCCAGGCTCTCTGCTCAGCAGACAGTCTGCTTCTTGCTCGCTCTCTCTCTCTCTCAAATAAATAAATAAAATCTTTAAAAATAACAATAGTTATACTTTTAGTATCTACAGATTGAAAAACAATTGGGAAAATAATATGAATTCATGAAACACCCTTCAAGCACCCCCTTCAGTTTCAAATCCTCAAGTTGGAAACCACTGGCCTGTATACTGAAAATAATGTAGCAAAGGATACAGGCTTTTCAAGCGGTGGTCCCTAGCAGGTTCTCTAGCCTTTTCCCATACAACTCAACTCACACACACCTCACACTCCCACCACACTAAACTACTTTCAGTTCCATAAATATGCAAGACTCACTTTGTGGCTTTGTACATGATGTTCCCTCTGCCTACAATATCCTTGTCCCATTTTACACCTGGCTAATTCCTACTCAAGTTTCAAGATTCTACTCAGGCTTTTTCTAATTCCCCTAGGAAGTATTCTCTACACTGACTCCTTGGTTTACATTAGGAGCCCCTCTTCTGTGCCCTCATGGCCCCTGTGCTTCTCTCTATCACAACTTAGACCAATGAACCTCTGTATGCCTCCATTTCATTACCTATAAAATAAGGAGAAAACAGTATCTACCTCATAGAGTTTTAGGAATGAAATGAGTTAATACATATAAAGTACTTCAAATAGAGCATGGCACACAGTAAGCATTCGATTACTACCAAGTTATTTTTATTGTCATTGTGTGTCTAACCATTACACTGGAAGATCCAAGCAGGAACAATATTTGCATCCATCTCTGGTCTGGCCTACAGTAGGTGCTTGGTAAATAACTGGGAAAAGAATTAAGGGATCTAAGGCTGGTGGTGTAAGAAGGTTGAATCTAAGTCAGTGGTAGAACTGGAGATCTAGAGAATTGAGAAGTACTGCTAAGAGCAAGAGGTAAGTACAGTAGGAGCCAGGAATAAGATAGTCATCTCTCAAAGATAAGCACAAAACGACTATTACAGATTACTAAGAACTTGGGTGAAGAAACATAACTGAGAATTGCTAAATTATACATATCTTTTAAACTAGCTGAAGCCATACTCAATTATTATGAAGAGCTCTTTTGATTTGTCATTATAACCTGTTAATTTTGAGCTGAAAAAGCTGTTTCCCCTTTTGGAGGCACTGTTTCTTCAGCTGTAAAATGTGACATAATAACATAATTTCCTAAGTATTTAAGATTATGAAAGCAAACTACCCAGCCCATTGGTTAAAGTAAAACTAGTTTGTTCCGGATAAATGTTATGTCATCCCCTTGCCTTCAAATTTTCTTTCTCTTAAAAATGTAAAAAGAAAAAGGGTAAGTCCCTTGGATAATAACAGCCTAGATGGAGAGAGGGAGGAGACGAATGTGAAATGGACCTACACAAAGCACCAGGGCTTGGGGAAGGGTAGATGGGTACCTAAAGTTACTCTCCCCCCAACTCCTCATGGTCAGAACTCGCTGGCCCTTCAAGGCTCAGGGAAAGTCCTATTCCCACCAGCCTTCTTTAACCATTCCAGGCCCTATGAGTCTCCCCTCTGAGGCCACAGCACTGAGCCCAGCCCGGTTCAGGCACCACCTCACGAGGTCTCTTCCAATCATAATCGGACTCTGTCCCCAGCTGGCCTGTTAGCTCCTCTGCAGTGGGACCTGAGTGTCTTCCTGCTCTCTCCACAAGAACAGAATTCAGTATATTGTTATTGTCTAAGGGAGAAAGGGGCGGGGGGGGTGAACAAGTCAAGAACTATGTTGGGACTTATACCTACATTGTCTCTTTTACAAATCTGTAAAGTCAGTATTTTGATTATCTCTAATATAAGATGAGGAAACTGAGGCCCAGATATGCTAAGTGACTTGCTTGAGTCATATAAATAGTAAAAGAAAGGCTGGAACTGGGATACTGCCTGTCTCCAGAGTCTCGATAAGAATAAATGCATACTGGTGTCCACCTGGTTACCAACTATATAGCTGATTTGTTGGGCAATTTGGTCATACCAGCTCCCCACCTCAACTCTTCTCTGCTGCCAATCTGGGCCAAGCCATTTGACTTCTTTTCTTCCTCTTATTTTGTCCCAAATGCAAAGGGAGCTACCCTGGGTCCCTTCCACAGTAGAGTATGTGGAAGAAACAGGCTAAAAAGAGGGCCATGCCAGGGGAATAGAAGGGAGGCAAATATTAATATCCTACAATAGCAGAGCTAGTTAAACCCTCTTGTTTTACAGATAAGGACACTTAACTCTGAGAAGGCAGGTAACTTGCATAAGGTGACACAGGTGAGTGGAGACTGAAACCTTGTCCCCCAAACTCCCAAATTGGTGCTCATTTTGGTCTACCCGGCACAAGGCCATGGAGAACTGTCAGGCTTGTCACTGAGCAAAAAACCCAAACGCTGTAAACACAGGAAATGGGCTGGGATGAGGTTCAGAGGGAGCAGCAACTTTTGCCAAGTTAGAAATGTTCAAGGGTTTCCTGTCCACAGCTGTTAACTGTCACAGAAATGCTCCAGAAAGCAATGCAAGGTAGAAAGGGGAAAAAAAGAGAGAGAATGAGGAGAAAATATTTAGGCCCAGAAGTGACTTTATAAATTATTCAGCCCCAACCTACTTAATTTTACAGATGAAGAAGCTAAGACTCCCCCAAAAAAGAAAAATGACTTGTCCAAACTCACACTCCGAATTTAAGGACCCTTAGAAACCACTTACTTGGTTCAAATCCTTCATTTTAGGGATGAGAAGCCTGAGACCCAGAGAGGGAAAGAGCCTTGCCCAAGGTCACAGGGCTAGAGAGGCGGAGCTAGACTGGAACGGAGCTCTTCAACCTCACAGACCTGTGTGGTTAGAGGGAGCCCGCTGAAGTGACTTACCTCAGACACAGCTGTGTTGGCCATGGAGGGAGTACAACAGGTCAGGAAACCAAAAATAAGCAGGATATACTACCAACTAATGAAGAATAACAAGGACCAAACACAGCAAGCTTATAAGAGCCCAAACAAAAGTGCTCTGGCTGCTTAAGACACTTTGGAAAACTAAGAGGCAGAAAAACATTCGAGCTATTCCAGGAACAGAATCCAAGGAAGAACGAGTGGGGCAGGCAAACAGAAAAGGCCGGAAATGCTAAGGGAAATCCCAAGGTTCTGCTTCCTTCTTCTGTCCTAGAGCTAAATATCCAGAACACACCACCTCAGAAGCAACTCTGGGTTCAGCAGGCCACTATGGGGGCACTACTGTATAGTAATTAGCCCATTACTGGACCCCCACATACCACTGCTGGCAGGTATAGAGGGAAATTACATTTCCATGAGGCCTGGAATTTCACAGAGATTCACTTCTCATGCCAGCCCTGAGACACAAGGATTAGGACTCTCATTGAACGGATAAAGGAAACTAGGGCTTAGGGAAGACAAGTCTCTTGGTCCGGCATCAAGTTATTACTGTATATGGCAGATCCAGTGTTCAAACTTAAACTCTCTTTCAAGAAATGTTTAGTAAGTGCCTGCTTTTCCAACCCTGTCCTAAGGGCTGGGGATACACTGAGGAAACAAACATGGCCTCTGGCCTATAGGAATTCCAATCAAGGAATTGTGAATGCTTACTGGGTCACCCACATTACACATGAAGCGTGACTACTTAGAGGCTGGAAAGAACAGAAAGGCCAGAGGAACCCAAGCACCGAGAGCTGGGCTACAATAGTTGATTCCTCCAGAGACAGGGGGGCTCTGGTGAGAAAAGATGGGAGGCTGACCAGCATCACTGTACTTTTCTCCTACTCTGGTCAGAGCTTTCTCATCCAGCATGTCCCCAGTCCTCACTACAGTTAAGGCAGTCAGGCAGGGCAGAGACTCTTGATCCTGCTTGACAAATGAGGGAAATGAGACCAACAGCCGTGGTTCAGCCTAAGTGGCACAGTGAGCTGGTGGCAGAAAAAGTCAAGCCTCTTGGCTTCTGTTCTTTCTACTAGACTGCTCTGACTCTGGACCACAAAAGGGGAAATCTAAAACAGGGGATTGACGAAGAGTTAAAACCTCTAGATTTCCCTAGCTATCCTCTTTTCATTTCACCATGACTCCCATCCCCACTTCCCCGTGCACCCCTCATCATCCTCACAGAGTTCTTAACTTGGCTTACATATACCCTCATTCCCTCCCTTGGTGCCTCAAAATCAGTGATTCAATCAGTGAGTTAATCAACCACAAAGTCTTGGCCGCCATCAGATACCATGTCCTCAGGGAAACATTCCCCTCCACCAGCTCATCCTCAGCATTCAGATCTTTAAATGGCAATCAAAGAAGAGAGGAATGCTGAAAAATGGAAAGGCCAGGGGGAAACACCCTAGCAGGGGAGAACATTTCACACGATCTAAAGTCTGCACAGAAGATATCCAATTTGTCCCAGTCTGAGGTCCACCTGCTAAATCAACCCAGCTGGGGGTTTGAATTCCCGATAAGAAGGAAAAGTACTAAAAACCTACCATTAACTTATTCATTCATCCATTCTTCATTATTGATGTTTATTCTGTATACAACTTATGTTAGGTCCTAGAGCCACATAAAAAAAAAACAAAAAAAAACTCTGCCTTCAAAAAGCTTACCTTTTAGTTTGTACTTCTAGTTGTAGATGAAACCATTTTTTGACTAATTCATTTGTTTCTATCACTTACATTGAACCTTGCGTGTATGTGACCAGTTTGTTTTCTTCAAGTCTTTGTAATGTGACTGTGGGAGATAATGGAAAGGAGGAAAGGAGGAAAGTTGTGTTTGTTCTCTGCTATATTTTTCCATCTATTCAGGAAGTTTTGCGGGGTTTTTTAGAACCCTGAATTGGCCTGTGGCTCTTTTGGTAAAAGGTGCATTCAGCAGTAAATAATCTTTTTCTTTTTTTTTTTATTACAGCATAATAGCTTTACCAGGGGGAAGAAAAGCTTACCTTGTAGGGAAGAAAACAGGGAATCAGGATACAAGGAAAGAGCTACAGTTAAAGGATGTACCAACTTCTGTGGAAGCAAGATGACTAATTCTCTCTTAAGAGTAAGGGAAAGGTTTCCCAGAGAAAATGTCATTGGCTTAGTCTTAGGGAATATGAAACATCAGGATGCTAGAATGCCAAGCCCACATAGCCAGGGCTGGAGAGGTCTCTAAAGGCAGACTAAAGTGTCCCAGGTTCCTAGCAGAAAAGTTGATGTGGGATAAAAGAAATACACTATAGCCCTTGTTGCTTCAAAAATATTATACCTCTGGGGTATCTGCTCCAGGGAAAACCACCAAAGTCTGTAATACACCTAGCTCCACTCTGCACTCACACAGACCCAAAGCACTGAGCATAAGCTTGAGGTTCTACAAGAGACTTCTGTATCTTGGGCATGCACACTTCTGCTTCTTGCCTTGCAAACTGGCTCCCAGCAGCCTGAGCCACCTTACCTCACAAAAAGCTCTGCTGGTGGATACCACCATTAATGGTCTTAAGACGTAAAACTTGGGGCACCTGGGTGGCTCAGTTGGTTAAGCGTCTGCCTTCAGCTCAGGTCATGATCCCAGGGTCCTGGGATCGAGCCCCGCATCGGGCTCCCTGCTCAGTGGGGAGTCTGCTTCTCCTTCTCCCTCTCCCCACCTCATGCTCTCTCTCAGATAAATAAATAAAATCTTAAATTAAAAAAAAAAAAAGATTTAAAGCTTAAAAGCCAGCTAAAATGAGAAATGGTCCAGTTCAAATGAAAACCTCTAGTGGTTTAACTCTGAGCTGGTCAAGATGAAGACAAAAATCCTTTAATGCAGCACAAATACAGAGCAAAGCAAATAGGTCATAACAAACCACAGTTCATTTAGTGGAAGCAGAAAGTCCAACAGTCCCTGCCACCCTACACACCCATCACCAAACCCATGTTCCAGCTAGGCCCAGCCAACGCACAAAGCACAAACAGCACTGGAAGGAAGGGTGAGGGGGAAGGTCCTCAGGCCCTTTCCTGAAGCACTATCCCAATGGAAGAGAGTAGCCTCCTATCCCCCACCCCAACAGCATAGAACACCAGCCCAGGCCAACCCTTGCGGGACTTGCAAATCAGCAAAGAAGCTGGCGAGGTGCCACCCAGGCACCACAGGCCACTCTTCCCAGGAAATCGGAGCTACTTTTGCAGCCCACGTGATGAGATTGCTATGTGCAGTCTAGATATTATATGGCCATTGCAAGGAGCGCTGTTCTGCTGCAGAACTCACCGGAATAGAGAAACTGGGTTAAAGTCTGACTGGTAACTTGATCGTCCACTAAACCCATTCTCACCTCCATGCACATCCCCCCACCACCCCCATCAAATCCTGCCCTACTGTCAAGTCCAATGCCCATACTGCTTACTCCGAGGGGAACGTTTGGCTCCCTGGTGGTCCTCAATGACCGCTCTATTTTATTCGAACAACATTTATCCACTCAAACAGTACGTAGCGATGCTCTTCCTATGGCGGCACGGTCTGCTCGGCAGGTCGGCAAAAACCAGCCAATCCTTCAGATGCTCTGCACTCCCCTCCCCAGAACTCAAGTTCTTTGACGAGGCTGCCCAAGACCTACACTTGTACCGCTAAACCCTCCCAGGGATCACCTCCAGACGCAACAGATGTCCTACACTAGACGATTCAACGGGAACACACCTCAACTCAAGAGCCCACTGCCAACTGCCCCCCACCCCACCCCGCCAATTCGTCCTGCCCCTTCTGGTCAGATCTGGTTTCCCACCACTTCACGCAGGCCTCACCTCGCTCACCATGTTGATGACCCTGTTCCCTCTAGCAGAGGGACAGGCAGACATCAGTCAACTGGCATCCCTCAGTTAATGGATCAGCTCTTTTTTAAATTAATTTACTTATTTCAGAGAGAGAGAGAGCACAAGCAGGAGTAGGAGCAGAGGGAGGGAGAGAATCCTCAAGCAGACTCCCTGCCGAACACAGAGCCCAACCCAGGGTTTGATCCCAGGACCCCAAGACCATGACCTGAGCCAAAATCAACAGTCAGACTCAACCGACTGAGCCACCCAGGCACCTCGAACTTATTTCTTTAACATTAGAGTTCATCAGTAAGGGCATACACTTTTAATAAGAGCTTTGTATCATTTAAGTTATTATTATTATAGCAGCTAACATTTATGTAGCACTACGTGTCAGGCACTATTCTAAGCACTTCATATTTATCTCATTTACCCTCTTGAAAACCCTACAAGGTATCAATATGATCAATTCCATTCTCCCAATCCAGAAATGAAGGCATGGAGAAGTAAACTAAGTGGTAGCATTAGAAACAAACAGTCTGGCTCTAGAGTCCAAGCTCTTAACTACTACACTATGCTGCAGGGTATAATAAGGACCTTTATATACATATAGACACATGTGTACAGGGCTTAAATACACCTCCCATAATACACTTCTTCTAAATTAAGTCCAAACTTCTGTCTCTTTAGCTTTACTCTGCACTGCCTCTCCCATGTGCCCCCCACTCCCACCAGACTGACATACTCACAGGGCCTGCCCTTTCATTCCTGGCTTGCCATCCTCCCTCCTTCCTTCCCCCAAATCCTAATCAACCTTTCAGGCTTAGCTTCTCTAGGAAAGCTCCTAGAAAAACGGAAGGGAGGGAGGGAGGGGATCACCACTGGTTTAATGCCTACCATGCATCAGTCACTATGCTGGTGCTTTGAACACATCACCTCATGTAATCCTCACACTCCTGTGAGGCTGCTATCACTATACCCATTTTACAGATAAGGAAAAAGTAGTTCAGGGATTTAACCTGTCAAGGAGCCACAGTTCTAAAGCACACACTCTTTTCGCTATACCTTCTAAGCTCTTTATGACCTACTCCCCACATTTAAATGTTTACACGTATACTACTTGACTTTGTGTTTTATTTAAAA